TACATTAAAAGTAATATTATCACCATACTTACCTAGTATGTCCAATTTATATGCATTATCTCCAATCCTTTCTAAGACTTGAAATAATTCATCCCCTCTTGTTTGAAGGTTTAAATTTCCTTGCATGGGAAACTTTTTTTTGCGCCTATGTATCCAAACTCAATCTCCAGGTTCAAATTCTACTTTCTTCCTTCCCTTATTGATATACTTTGCTTGTTTCTTCACTTTCTTTTCAATTTGATGTTTTATTTTTCTAATTAGAGGTAGGCAGTAAGATACTTCTTTAGGGAATATATCTTCAAAATCTTGTAGAAGAGAGGAAACACCACTAGGCAAAATATTGTTAGTAAAGAAATCCATAAATTTATTATGAGGACTTTCTTTATACAAAGGTAGGCACATAGGCCGAGAGGCCAACAAAACTTTCTCTACTTCTTTTTCTCTCACAAACAAATTTTCTCTCCTTTCACGTTGATTTTTCTCTTCACCTTTCTTTTCACTCTCATATTTCTCACTTGTAAGTGTCTTCAATTTTCCCCTTTTCTTTTTAAGTTTTCCCTCAAACTCACTCTTTTTCTTTTCATTTCTTCTCTCATCGTTTTTTTCTTGCTCTCTTCTTAATTTCATGACTTTTTGATCTTCATGTACTTGTCTAGGAGTCATGGGCACTACAGTGATTGTGCACCTTTTATGTACAAACGTAAACTTGGAATGACCATCATGAATAGATTTTTTGTCAAATTGCCAAGGTCTTCCCAAGAGGATATGACTTGCTTCTGTAGGCACAACATCACATAAGACTTCATCCTCATACTTGTCAATAGAAAAAGTAATCAAAACCTGTCTATTAACAACCAACTCTCCTTTATCACTCAACCATTGTAACTTATAGGGCTTAGGATGAGGAGTAGTAGTAAGATTCAATTTTTTAACAAGTCTAACACTAGCCATATTGGTACAACTACCATAATTAACAATAAGAGAACAAATCTTTCTACATACCAAACATCTTGAATAGAAAATTTTCTCTTTGTGTAGTGTCATCCTCTTTAGCTATACTACCTAAGAGACACCTTACCATAAGCAAATCTCCTTCATGGCATAAAGCTTTAAACTCACTGTCTTCTTCACTTGAAGCATGTGATGATTGAGATGAACTTGCACTTGAGATTTCACCATTCTCCTTCAAAATCATAGTTTTCTTGTTTGGACATTGGGATGCAATATGACTCTTTCAAAGACATTTGAAACATTTGATTACTCTATGCTGAGAAGTAGGAGAAGTAGAAGTATTAGTAGAATTAAAAGAAGTTTTCAGGAAGGTTTACCACTTTGCACAACTGTATCCTTAATTGATATTTTCTCCTTTACTTCTTCCTTCCATCCTTTTGAGTTATAGGAAGAGCATTCTTCCCTAAAGTACCTTTTCTTTTTAGTTGTGCTTCTACTTTAATAGCTTGGTGAACCAAATCTTCAAGTTCTACATAGGGATGAAGTTTCACTATGTCATGGATGTCATGGTTCAACCTATTCAAGAAACGGGTCATTGTCACTTCTCTTTCTTCAAATACATTAGCTCTTATCATGACAACTTCCATTTCTTTATAATAGTCATCGACACTTTTGTCACCTTACCTCAAACCTTTAAGCTTTCTATTGTAGTATATAGGAACAAATCTCCTGTGCATTAGGTTCTTCATTTCAATCCATGTATCTACAGGCTCCTCATCATATCTCCTTCGGTCCATTTGAATTTGATCTCACCACACCAAAGCGTAGTCATAAAACTATAGGAAGGCCACCCTTACTTTCTTTTCTTCACTATAATTATGGCATGAGAATACTTGCTCTATCTTCAATTCCCACTCTAAGTATGCTTCAACATCATTCCTTCGATGAAAACTATGAATCTTTATTTTAACTCCACCAATTCTTTCATTTTCTCTTATTCTTACATTTTCTCTTCTCTTTCTTTGATTCCTCCTCTCTATTATCTCTCCACCTATCATACCTCCTTTCTTCATCATCTCTCATATTTCTTCTTCTTTCTCTTGAAGAATTATTAGAGTCTCCATGAGCATGTGGGGAACAATCACGTGACCGCCTTCTTGCATTATTTGCCAATGCCTCTTAAACATTCCTTATTGCTTCATTTTGCCTCTTAAACATGCTTTTAAATCTTTAAGCAAGTCTTTCAATTTGCGAAGTAGGAGTGCTCTCTCTACTTGATCCTCCTTCTTGAGATATTCTACAAAACAATAAAAGTTAATGCAAAAAGAAAAGATTCTCTCCACTCGCTAAGTGTTTTCACTCAGTAGATATTCACTTGTGTTTCACTCTAAATTGACTCTTATGTAAGAATTTCTCTCTTGCCTTTTTCCCTCTAAGTGCTCTCAAGAGTTCTTAAGAAAGTCAACCTCCAATCCACACAATCAACCAAAACCAAGAGACGATCAATCAACGAGAAACAAGTGAAGCCAACAAAAGAGAACTCTAAGACAAAACTAAGGAAGTCAACAAGACAATAGAAAAAAGGACTAAATAAGAAGTAAACACACTCAAAAGTATATTGCAAATAAGACAAAATTGGAGAATTTAAAAAAGATTATGTAACCTTAAATAACAACTTTTTTTTTTGGTATGGAATCAAGCAAAATAAATGAAAGATTGAAAGAAATATATCGAAAACACACTTTTGTATGTTGCAATTTTTTTGTAGTATTTTATTTTCTCTCTCTCTTTTTTTTTAATGAGCATTACGTTAACAGTGTGTGATGAACAATACCTTTCAATCCAATTTTAATCAAAGCTCTGATACCAATTGATGACAACCACAAACCGTGTTGTCGAATTAAACGATCTTGAATTAGATTTCACACAATAAAAATAAAATTATTAAGGCACAAATAGGAATTGAAATAAGACGAAAATTAATAAAAAGTAAAAATAGAATAATTCGACAAGATTGATAAGTTAAGGAACGATCGTCACAAGAGTCTTGACCTCTTGATAAGATCAAAGAAAATTGGCTCACTCAAGAACCTAGAGTCACAGGGAAGATAGATTAATTTATTTTTCAGGTAACTAAGACAATCAGCACCAGACTCAGTGAAGGAATAACGAACTGTTATAGAACTTAGCTTGTATTTTGAAATTATGATGTAATTGAAAGTCCTGTAGCAGTCTTTGATACAAATTTGTAATCCTTTATTGTTTTGAACTGTCTTATAAAACTTTAAGATGAGATCTTTTTATTTAAATGAAATTTTTATTACTCTCATTTTGAGAAATTATTACTTGGAAATTAAATTAAGGTATTACACTGATGGGTTGATAGATTCTAATATCACACGAGTACTTGACAATGATATTTTTTAAAAAAAATTTGAAGGATAAATGAGGGAAAAATATTACATTGGTAAACTTATACCCAAGGCTATTTTCAGCAACACCTAATAAGGAGGCGTGGATATTTGATAATGGACAATTTAAGATGGGTCAATGGATGTGGGAAATTCCTTAGAGAAGGCAATTTTTATGGGAGGAAAATTTACAACAACAGTTGTTAGAGACTATGAAGGGTAAGAGACCGAGAGAAAATGTGAATGACATGCTAATGTGGAAGTGTGATGATAATAAGAAATATAGTGTGCAATTCAGTTATCACTACATTCATCATTTTTTCATTGCAAGTAGTGGTTTAGAGTTGTGTCTAGTACATGTCTTACGGAAAATTTGGAAGGTCAGTGCATCGAAAAAGGTAGTGGTATTCGTTTGGCGTTCACTGCTTAATGCAGTTCTGGTGCAAAGAAATTTGACTAAAGGTGAATTAATGATTCTCTGGGAAGCTTATGGGTTGTGTGATAACGAAGATGAAAACATACTGCATCTCTTTTTGCATTGCAATATCTCCATGATACTGTGGTACATAGTGTTTAAATGGTTTGATATTAACTTATGCTTACCTAAAAATTTACACGAGGCGTTATTAAGCATGTGTAGAAAAAAGAAATGGAAGAGAGTTGTAATTGTATGATTTACAGTAGTATGGACAATTTGACTTCAATAGACTAATATTCTCTTCAACAACTGTGTGTTAAATGCTAGTGAAATATTTGATTATATTAAGTACCATTCTTGGAAGTAGCTTGCAGTTAGGCTATTAAGAAGATCGATTGTGTATGTAAATTGGATTGATGATTCCTTGGAATATATTATTAATTTCTTCTAGAATTATAACTAGTTAGAGTACCCCTTTTACTCTAAACTTATTTTTGATAAAATATTGATACTTAAAAATAAATAAAATCAACTCATATAATTATTACTCTTTCTAAGATTTATAAATGTACACATACTACTACTAATTGTTGTGTGTAAAAAATTTTCAGTCAAAAGTGTTAAAAAAATTCTTTAAATAAAAAGCCAATTTTAAATTTAAATAATCTAAATATTTATTTATCAAATTATAATAACATACGAAAGGCTTAATTAAATGTCTAGTTATTTAAAAATGTTTTTTTTTTTAATTTAGCTCTTCCTTTTTAACCTTTTTCCAATTTAATCTCTTAAAAGTCGTTCTTTATTTATATATATTTTTTATTAATATATAAGTCGTATGAATTAATTGGGACATCTAACGAATAAGATAGACTATTAACATTATATCTTTCGTAATTTTTTAATAAAAATTAAAGTTTTAAGGATTTTTAAATTAAATTTTGAATATATAAAGAAAATGAAGATATAAAAAATATCACGTAAATAGATGACAAAAAAAAATCAATGAATCATCAATGAAAAAATTATATGAAAATAAAAATACCAAATAAAAATACGATAGTTTGAGATTAAAAATTTAAATGAAATTTAAAATAACTAGTGCAACATAGGAGATAAGAAAAATTGTACATTTCACACTTCAAGGAAGGAGAGACTTATGAAATAATAAAAAATTGAACAATAGAGGTTATATAAACCAAAAGAAGAAATATCCAAACTTAAATTGGTTGAGGTGACAATTTCCTATTGGCTAGGAAGTGTCGAACTAACTGCAGAGCTTGCTTGGGAGCAAAAGTTGGAACTTGATGACCAGCACCTCTAATCGTCACATAAGTAAGCCCATCGTAAACAATGCTCCATCCTCCCACCTGTGATACAATTTCAGCTAATATTATATTTTGATTCATGAAATTATGTTCGATTTTTTCAATAAAATATTTTTTGGTCAAATTATATTTTGTCATAAAATATCTAAATAATAAAATACTAATTTCACTTCTATTTTATTCACAGTCAGATACCCAAAACTAAAATTCTGAAGATGTTGAAAATTAGTTTAGTTGGGTAAATTTATAGAAAAATTTTTATAAGTAAAATAAACTAATTTTTTTTCATAAGTTAAAAACAACTTATTAAATACAATAGCTTTCCAAAATTTAGAGAAATACAAGTTATTTTATTTATTTATTACATTAATTTTATAAGAATTTTTATAAAAATATACTTAAATTGGGCATTATATTTTAAAACAATACCCAACTGCTAAAATAAAGACTCAAACACAACATGGTTTACCTGCCGGCTGGTGTACCAGGGAGTCCAATCTTGAACAACACCGAGACCCAGTTTTCTAAGTGTGTATCTTGTTGCAGTCACAGGAATTCTTCCATCGGTATCTCCACTATATAAATAAAGTAAATTAGCAAATGAAGAATTAAACAGATTAAGATAGAACTGAAATAAGCAGAGAAATACAAAATAGAGACTTGGCATATAATCAACCACTACTTAAATTTGTTTTAGTTTTTATCTAGTTTTCAAAAGGGACTAACAAATATGTTGCAATTTACCTGTAAACCCATATGCGAATTCCACCAGCAATAAGCTTCTTGATGACAGGAAGCATGGAATGTGGTGCGTCATTCCAAAATGTGATATTATTGCTAGGGACAATTGGCCAAAAGTAAAAAAAAAAACATTAATACACACTTTTGTTTTCATGATATTTTCCAATATTGTGTAATGGTAACCAAAAACTGAAGCTAATCGATCACATAAATAAATGTCATGATTAAAAAAAAGATAAGGTGGAGCAAAACCTGCAGTGAGTCCATGGATAGGGAATTTTGGTGACATTGGCATGCAGTGCCTTTTGAACTTCGGGTCTATTTAGGTACACTTCAGTATAATCTGATGCACAAGGATCATATCCAGCTGGTCTTTTATGCCACGCGTCCTGTTAAAACCAAAAATGCCAACTTGCTCTATAAAATGTTGCAAATCATAATTGTGTTTCAGTTCACTGATTCACCAAGCAAGTAATGGAAATCTCACAATTTTGGAAAATGTTTGAGGGGCTGTGCCTCTGATGATAGGGGCTTCCTTTCTAGTGCTGCTATTGTTGCTGAAACACCTTGGAGTGTACAAGCTATACATGTCAATAAGCTTATACACATCGAAGTACTTATTGAGTTCCACATTGCAGTCATTGGTTTGATTGGGAAGGCTGAAATTGCATGTGGTTGTGATGTTATGGTATAACCCATCAGATATCACAGCATGATCCCACGCATAATCTATCATACCCTTTTGATCTGTTTCATCATCCATCAGTGCATTTCCAATCTGCACAAGCAATGCCATCGGTTTCATGTTGTTTCTTTCGGACATTTATTATTGACTGATTTGTTTAGAAATTAAGTGATTATTCATTTAAGTTTTTTTAAACTATAGCTTTTACCATAAACTTAATACTGAAAACAGTTTATTTTGATAAGTTATGAGAATCATTGCTTGACGAGAGCCATAAATTATTCATAAATTTTTTCAAATAAATCATCCTACTCACAAAAAATACAAGTGTCTTTTAAAAAATATTGACTTTTAAAAGGTACACGTTTATTTTTTAACTTTTTTTTTTCTTTAAAAGTCGTGTTATTTTTAAGGAGGAGGCTTTATATACTGAAATAGTAAGAAAATTTAGCATTTTGATGAGAGACAGATTTACCATGAAACCTTTGAAGTTAATGTAGTCTTTCTTGGCAGGATTGTGATTATTATCGAAAATGAGCTCAGAAAGTTGGGGAACATAATGCCCTGAAATGTAAAAACAAACCAAATTTATTTGAAATGAATAAAGACCCAAATATATGGTGTTTCAGGACATAAATACCTGCATAGCTTTCCCCGGAAATGTAGAACTCATGTGATCTGAATTGTGGAAATCTCCTAAACCACTTGATGAGAAAGGTGTGTGAATCCTTAGCTGGTCATGGAAAATCAGTACTCATCAATAAATCACATTTAGTAAAAGTAAGAAAAAATAGTACAAATCCTTAGGTGAAATAGCAGCATTACCTGTAATTGTATCACCAAGCTCACTGATATCACTGCTGGTGTTGGTGTAGGAGAATCCCACCCCAACAGGGGATTCCAAAAACAAGAGATTGGCAGCTGTAGAAATCACACTGATTATAAGGATTATTGCATTTTTAAGCATAGTTTTTTCTTTAAAAATAATAAATACACACATTAATGTTTAGAGTACAACAATATTACTTGAAAAAAAACTACATCCATGTTGATAATTGATAAATTATATCAAATCAAGCAACAGTGTCATTGCTTCATAATTACACAAAATAGGTTTAATTTCTATAATAATTTTGTATGAGTAAACGAAAAATCAACATTGGAAGTGGATTAACACATTTATGGCTATTGATCTAAATTCACCAACCTTTATTCCAAGAATAAGGGTTCAACTTTAGCTTTGGTTGGCTGCTGCTCTGGGGAAAGAATGGTCCTAGCTCCTCTGCTTCTCCATATCCAATTGAGGAACAACCAGGGCCTGAAACATTCATGCATTTTCTTCATATCATTTGCAGTAATGTATCTTTATGTCAAGTTATCAATTCATATCATTAAGTGCATGGTATTTCTCTAAATTTACTACTTAATATTATATTAGAAAACATGCATCGGAATACATCTACTGTCATATGACACTTTACTAAGATAACTAATGATAATTTGGACTAGTGTTAACGTCCTGTGTTTTTTACTTTTGATGAAATCATATGTTGGTTGGTCTTTTTTAAGAACATTCACCATTTTCAAATTATATCATATATTCTTAATTAGTTAAAGTCAATGATGTCATTCAAAGGGACAAATTTCTTCTAATATTTATTTTGTTATTCATAAAACTCAAATGTCGATGGTTCTCGCTTTTGATGTATTGCGTGATGATGTTGATCTTGTTTCGTATTTTTTTTCATATATCTTTTTTTCTTTCAGACCAAAACAAAAACATAAGCCTTGGCTCATAGTTTTCCACTAAAAAACTCAAAGTGGAGGATAGAAAAAATAAATAAGAAAGTTATATAATATATCCCCACTCTCTATGATGTTAATTTTTTGCCAAGGACGATGTATATAGGATATAAGTTACATATAGTAATGGATTGAAAAACCAATTCAAATTTAAACTAATTAATTACGATTAATTTAAAAGATTCAGAAGTTTAAAGTTACATTCTAACTTCCACGATATTATTATTCTAAAAAGAAAGTGAGTCCTATCTATTGAAAAAGCAAAAGGCAAAGAAGCCATAGTAATGATTTGTTGTTCCAAAATCAAATGAATCCATTGATTCCATCATGGGTTTTTTTGTTGGTAAGGATTCCATCATGGAGTTGCTCAAGAGTTTAACTTTCAAAGATATAAATCATTGCGGGGTTTAACAACCTTCAAGAAGATGTTGAAGTTACACCAACATGTATATTATATTCTGTGATTCATTTAATAATTATTAATATCAAAATTATAGAAGAACTAATAAAAAAAATTGAAAATGTGCTTTCAACAAGATAATGTCAGGTTAACATTTTTTTTCTAACTTCTAGTATATTAAGAAACTTACTGATAAAATTAATATTGAATTTTCATTTATATAATTAATAACCAAATCCCGCTCTTATTTTTCATTTTTATATATATATTTTTCATTATCAAAACATTTGATATATATATATATACACACACACACTCCTAGCAAATACTTAATTTTGTGAATTGCATAACAAAAGTAAATGAGACAGATGGATTTTTTTTTAAGTGAATACATGTATCTTTATATATTAGTAAACCTGACACATGCATGGATTTTTCATTTTAATTTTTTCTTTCTTTATTTTATTTATTTCATTTATATATTTATTGTTTTTAGTATTTTTAATCGTTTAATTTATTTCTTCTTATTAAGTATTTTATATTTTTAATGATTAAACTGATATCAAACAAATTTTTAGATACTAATAAGTAATTTAAAATTTTTTAATTTATTTTAATATTTGTATTAAATATATGCTTAATATAAATAAACTATTTAATATTATAAATAATAATAATAATAATATTAAATATTTTATAAATTCGTACACGAATACAAAATTCAGTTTACTTTTATAGAAGCATAGATAGAAAACATAATTTTGAGTGCTATATAACATGTCATGATAATCAACTAATATTTTTTTTAGGTAAATATTAACAATTTTCATAAATTAGAAATAAAATAAATTGCTATAAAACAGTAGAAGAATAAGCAGAATTCAATGATCAAAGTTACATATTTGTTTATTTAGCCCATGCTTGCTAATTTTGTTTTACTATCCTTTTTTTTTTTGGATGCTACCACCTAAAGTTTTCTTGCCTTTGTGTTCCTATCAGCAGCTAGAAAAAAAAAAGTGGGTTTCACTTTGGTTCAAAGCAATATTCATTACTTCTATCGAATTTCATTATGGCTGTTCCTGCTGCAAGTTGAAGCCACTGACCGTAGACTTTTGGTCAAATTTCCAATAACCGCATGCTTGCTTGACCATATTCAATTATTCTTACATTTTCTTTTATCCAAAGTTATATTTATTTTCGTTTGTTGACCTAAAGCAACTGAATATAGTCACTGCAAACTTCATCTTCAATCTTTTCGCTTCTTTTTCTGTTTGTATTTTATTGTTTGCATTTTCTATTTTATTTCTATTGCTAGGCCCAACTAATGAATTTGGAAAGGATTACGTAACTCGTAAATTAAATATATAATTAAACAACTTTATATGTCATCCTGCCAGACTATGCAAGAAACAACTCATTAATTAGTTATAAAAAATATTAATATAATTGCTAATTATATGGGACGTGACAAAGTTGGTTTGCTTACTTCTATATTAGTTGTTTATAGTAAAGTTCTTTTCCTCACGCAATAATGCTAAATATTAATTATTAGCGTAAGGAAAATTAAATAGAAAATTTTCAAATAAACCAAGGTTTACAAACTTTAAAACCGATATAGGAGCTGATTAATTAATTTGTGGGCTCTGGCTTGTAACTTCAATACGATAAGTTTGGACAATTTCATATCAAACTTGGCTGGGTAAAGACTAAAAGAGACAGCTCTTATGCACGAGGGTAACATTATGATATTTGGCATAACTTGTTTCATAAGGGGTATATATTAATTATAATGCTATATATATGTGCATAGCATGGGTGCCTCTAATTTTTTATTTTCTTCTCCTAATTATACTGTTGAAGCCATACAAGTTTGCATTTAATTTGGATGATATTATTTAGGAATCAGATCAATGAGTGCTGAATTGCGCGATGGAATGACCTGGGGATCGTTCGTAGTTATAAGTTTACTCCATTATGGATTATGATATTTAATTCGTTAATTGATGTTAGGTTTTATTCTAAATCATTTGCGTTTACATCTTATGAATCTGATGAGTTTGCACGTGTTCTATCGTAAGTTGGTTTTGCTGAAACTCCTTAAGATTATGTAGAAAGGAATGTTTTTAATTTTATAGTGGAATTAATCTTTTTTTTCTTTTTCTTTTCTCAAAAAAAAATTATTTTCAACTAAGTTATGCCATACAATTCTTAGATAAGTCTTATAAGATAAAAAAAAAATATAAAATTAATAAAAATTTTCTCATAAATTAAAATAACTTATACTTCTTTATTTTTTGAAAAGTACTCTCGTCTAATTATTTCTTTAAAATTTGATGAAATGAATTTTTAAATTTCTTAGAGAAATTTTATTTGTTTTTATATTAATTTTTTTCTTATAAAAATTCTCTAGAAATAGGCATTGTTGAATTATACAAAGGTAATAATGCAGTAACAATTAAATCTTTTCTTACTAATATGATAATATAGAAGAATAAACCAAGTTATCACAATCATTAGTTCATAAATTGGTAGGAGACTCATGAGTGACTATTATTTATTCAACCATGTGTTAATCAGGCTAAGAATAGGATAGAAAGAACTTATAGCAGTTGAATGAGATAAATATAAGGGTGAATTAATATTAATTAATTAAATAAAAAGCGCTGTGCATATATATGAGGAGTTGGTAAAATACCTCCATTGAGCCAAAGGAGAACAGGTTTTCGTTCTGGTTTTTTAGTGGACTCGAAGAACCAATAGAACAGTGCTCTTCCATGAGTTTCATTGACTGTGATATAACCAGCATATTGATTAAACCTCACCGCAGGTTGTCCGGGTAATCTATGCACTCTGTCGGCTTCTTGCTGTGATAGTACCTCCTCACTAAGGTAATTACTTTCTGAAAGCTTTGACACTCCTAAAGCTTCTTTGGTCAAAGAGATAAGAAGCACAACATGTAAAAGAAGATTCAAAACAACTGAACACAAACCCATCTCTATTCCCTTTTTCTCTCACTCTCTCTCACATCCACACTAGGCGTGGCCTTCGGTTTAAATAATGGAAGAGACTTGAAAAAACAGGCAAGAGTCAGGTGTAGCGTAGCTACTGTTGCTTTACCTCTAAAACAAAATTTTTCTTATATATTCCCCAAAGCCATGCGAATGTCATGCCCCATTTTGGATGCATGATTTGATATTGTACGATTATGGCGTAGAATTATTTGTGTTATTTAATATATTGATATCTTTCCTTACTTTATAATAGTTATATATATCATTTAAGATATTCACATATTTTCTTATTTTATGATTTATATATAATTGTATTGATTAATACATTGATGCCTTCTTATTTTATACTTAATAAGGTATGTAATTTATTGAAATTTTTACTCTAATTAAATTTATCCAGATTTCGTATTTAATCACTTGTATACGAGAGACAATTTTTTTTTTTTATAATTGATAATCAGTAGTTTTTATTTAAAATTTGAATTAAAAAAGCACTTGAAATTTATTACATTAATATGAAAAGTACCGATGGATTATGAGTGATATTCACTATAAAAAGTATTCCGCTTAATTTTTAATGAGTGGAGATAACATCATAATAATATATACTCTTAAAATTAAATTATATATATATATATATATTTTAAATTATGTGTATCATATTAAATGGAATAGAAATGTTAAAAATGAAAAATATCTCTCTTCAAATATTTAATATAATGATATTTATTAAACTTAAATTTAACATCATATATTAAGTTAAAATAAATTTTACATGAGTAATATTTTAGAATGAATTTAGTTTAAATTGTGTTTACTAAAAAGAGAAGGTGAAAGATGGACTTTTTCAAAGCTCCATCTAGCTTTGAGGTTGAGTGGAACTTTTGTATGTGATAATTACATTTGTTCGATCCAAGGGATTCAAGGGGCATGATTCGCGGACTGGTCAATTGCTTTGGGTTGAAATCTTTGAAAGTTATGGTAACATATAATCCATACACTTTCTATACATCACGTATACGACCTACACATAATTGCCTTCCCAACCATCACATTCATAAATAACAGAAAGTGAGACCGCAAAAATGTCCACACAAAATAAAATTAATAGATTCAATATTGTATTCGGATTTTAAGCCGGCCACATAAATTTTAGCAAAATTACATTAACTAGAAAGCCGGCCTAAAACGCCAACGTCAAATAAGAGAGGGAAAATGATTAATTAACGTTAAAATATCATATCAACAACGATAAATGTTCCAAATTCTAATTCTTTTTTTGACGTGATTCAAATTTTGACTCTCTAAAACATGTGTGTGATTGAAAAGACAAGGTGAAAAGCGGACAGTATCTAAAAACAAATATATTTAAGATGTTACTAAACGCATCGCAATTGATGTAATGTCTATGTATTAAATAGGAATATGTTAGATTCACCTCGTTTCACTAACCTAATTTGGTAAAATTTAAATTTATTAAAATTGTTTTCTTTTAAATAGGGTCAATGTATTGTATTCTACAAATTAAATAAATTTGGATTATACTTTGAATTATCTCAATTCACATTTATATTATATATTTTTTAAATAATTATATATGAATAATAATAATAATTCTTTGTTTAATTGATAATATTGTATATACTATAAATTATATTTATATGGACATTAATTATTTTCTATAAATTTATTATAAAATATACCTTTCTTAATTCTACAAATTAATATCATACATAATGTTAAAATTTTCATATTCTGTTAATGAACTTAATTGACCCAAATTTTTCTCAAACATTTTATCTAATCTTTATTAAGTCAAATTTAAGTGAAAACAAAATGGCTTTATCCAAATTTTAATCCAATAAATACTAAAAGTCTTCCTAACTTGTCTCATAAGCACGCCAAGTTCAGAAATGATATGAACATTTGTACGATTCATTAAACACAATGTGTTTGATATGCTTGGTTTAATTTGTTTATTTTTTATTTTTCCCTAGATGATGTTCCTCTGTTTTTTCACTCATATGACCAATACACGTAAGAAATATTTTAAACCACATTAATTAAAAAATGTTTTATACTTTTTAAAACAACTTTCAAAATTGTTGTCACAATATGACATTATTTAAAAAAACCTCAATGTTAAAATTTATACATATTATATTATAAAATAATTTTTCTTCAAATATTTAATTATATACGTATACCGTAGATATACACGTGTGCCACATTAGTATCCATACCAAGTCTTTCATGTGCATTAATTTTTATGTTCAATATAACAATATTATATTTTACATAAATAAATTTTCTGAAAAAAATTCCAAAAGTTTTTACTCGCTGAAAGGAAAATTATTATAACGAGAAAACGAGTCCCGACGTTATGGGCTTTAAGGTGACAGGCCCATTTTAAGAAACAGATTTAAAAAAAAAAAACGATTTCTTATGCATTTTCCCGCCATTTCCCGCGAAAGCAAATGAGTAAAATCCGAATCCAAATAACAATGGTGGATGGAGCAAAGTGAGAGGGAATCGTTGTGAGAAATAGATATGGAGGGAAAAGGAACAGCAACAGGGTGTTACAAGTGTGGCAGACCCGGTCACTGGTCCCGTGATTGCCCTTTCTCTGCCCCCAATTCAAACCCTAATAGTAACAGCGCCACCAATCCCAAGCCTTCTTCCGCCAGATCTGCCTCCGACAAGCCCAAGAAGCTCCCCCGAACCAGGCCCAAACTCACTCCCGATCTTCTTCTTTCCGACGACGGCCTCGGTTACGTCCTTCGCTATTTTCCTCGCGAGTTCAAATACCGTGGTCCTGGCCACGAGGTACTACCTAATACTATCTTTCTGATTAGGTTAATTGGAATTATTTTCTTTTAATTTAATATGCAGTGCCTGTAATTTTCGCTGACATCACTGTTCGGGCTTTTAATTTTATTAATAATATTTTCTCTTTACGTTAAGCATGATTAACGTGACTTGGTGGGTTTGTTTTAGTAGATAGTTGGGTTGAATTGTTTTGTATTTGTTATTTGTGTGCTGATGGTGGTGCTTTCTGTTAGGTTCGTGATTTGGGTAATCTGCTTCAGTTGTACTCCGAATGGCACTCTCGCTTGCTCCCTTACTACTCTTTCCATCAATTTATTCACAAAGTGGAGAAAGTTGCTGCCACCAGGCGTGTAAAGGTACTGCTTCTCTTCAATGTAACTTCATTTCTGCAAAGCTCGAGTGGAGTGTATGTGTTTTTTTATTATGTATTTGTTAGTTAGCCTATAGATATTGAGATTCATCAATATAAAATAAGGTAGAAGAAAGAGAGATAGATGTGGGGTCATACGGTCAGGTGTCTGTGACACAAGTTTAAGAATACGCATGCACACCCTCCTTCTAGAAAATGATTTTCATCGCTTGGATGTTAGATTGTACATAATTATCACGTTGGTATTAGTACATCCCAAATTTCAGAAAATTAAGCAACTATTCATTTGATATAGCAACTTACGCGAGATCTGTGTATTGACTAGAATCCAAGAGGGATCAATGAGCCTAACATTAAAAATGTCATTGTTAGCATGATTGAGGAGATTAGCCGCCAAATTTCAAGCATTATTTGTACATATGTTTGCAAGAATGAATGATACATGCATACTTTCAGTTTTCACATCCTATACAAAAATTGCTTCTTGCTGTCTGTGTTAACATTTTGTCCCCCACACTTTGACCAGACTTGCCTTAGAGAATTGAGAGAAAGAGTTGCAAGTGGTGGAGATCCAACAAAACTGCGTGAACCACCACCAGTTATGGATGACACTCCAGCTGATGAACAAGGTATCTACTTTGCACTCACCATCGAAGTCATGAAATACATTAATCTCGTTGGTATTAGACTATTAGCTACTGTTTTCTTGGATCTGATATTGTAATTACAGAAAATTAATTAGTTTGGTTTTATTTATTGACATTCTTATCTGTCTTTACTAAATCCTTACCTTGGTGTTTGCTGTATTTGGAGAAGATGGGGGAGCAAGTCATCAAGAGAGAGACATGTTTGCAGAATCTGAAAATGTTGACATTCAAGACGACATTCTTAATGATATATATGAAAAAGCTACTGAAGTAAGTTTAATTTACTTTAGACAAAGTATTATCATGTAATGTGTTTTGTGTATTTCTGAAAAAATTATCAAAATTTATCTAGATCAAATCAGGGAGGAAAGATGTAATATTATCTTTCAAGGATTCATACTCTTTCACAAATTTGTGGGACAATTGCGAGTAATCCTAATTATTCAGAAAATGATTAGGCCAAGTTCAGTTGTTTTCCTTGTGCAGTGGTATGCAGGAGTTAAAAACAGAGAAAATAAACAAAGTCATGTAAGAATGCAAGAGTAACGGATTCAAATCCTCTCCATTTCCTTATCCAACCATCCAATGTATTATAATACCAATTTTGTTTTAAAATTATTATTGCTTTCAAAATTTTTGATGGCTATGATTGTGTCCATTTTCAATAGGAAATGGAGAGGATCCATTTCCAAGAGTAACATTGCCCATCATATGCAACTTCATGCTCTTGTATGCTTTCATCAGACACAGACTACTTGAACATGTGATTTATATATTCATCTTATTTTTCCTTCTCAGGTCTGTGGTTTATTTATATTTATGCCTTTGTTATGAAGATGAAAAAGTTTGTATATTTTGTAAATCGATAGTTTCAAGTAGCCAGCAATTCGAAACTTTTTAAACCAAATTGCCATACAAAAATTGTAAACGAGGGTCAAAGTCTTAACGACCAGATTACTCTCCCCTTTTATTACAGGAACCTTCTCAGTCCACACATAATGAGGTTGGCGCTATTATGGCTTCCAATAGTAGAGCAATTGAAAAGACATCAAAGGAAGTCCCAAATAATGGAGCCAGTCAGTCCGGCAGAGCTGAGATAACAGACGAGCAGAGAGCTCGTATGGAAGCAAATAGGTTGAAGGCACTAGAAAGGCGTGCTGCTCGAGCTGCCTTATCACAGGCCCCCTAAATAGTTTCTTTTTTATGGTCTGGTGAATATGAATGTTATACGAGTTGTTTGTGATCATGAAGATTGATTTGTCAAAACAGCTAATGGATTCGTGTTCGTTTATGAGCTTCATGTTTAAGTTTTAAGCGGGTTTATTCAGTCGCTTGTTTGGGGCACTTTATCCAAAGTGGATGATAATTATAGTGGCAATCAGGCAATCACTTGAAAAACAAGTTGAGAATTTACTTACGTTTAGGTTGTAGAAATTGATAAACAATGGTTGCAACTTGCAAGAACAAAAATCGACTGTTCCACTTCTAGTGTAAAAACCTGGTGAAGACTTGTAATGTCACACGCATGAATTCGCGGTAAGTAGTTGTAGTAGTAAATTACTTTATGAGATGGATTCACTGCGTTAATGCACAAATATTGGCTGCGGAAAATGTGTAATTGGTGTTCAATACAAAATTAGACCTAATAAAATACAGCTTATGGTCCGATTGCGTTAACCTTGCCGAAGCGAACAGTCGCATTGCAAAATGCTTAGCGTGACAGCAAAATTTAATATCGTACGAGAATTTAATCTGAAAATTGAACACACTACAGCATAAAATATATTTAATAAATGAATACATAATCAACTTAAATACTATAACTAAATAATCTATTCATTTAATATATATAGTCAATAAATTTTCGTTTAATTTATATATATGTAATTAATTAATAATTAAAAATGGAATATTATAAACTTCAATGCCCAAAAATGCATATTATAATTTTTAGCAGTTTACTAATTTTATTATTATTATTATTATTATTATTATTATTATTACTATTAAATTTCATAATTTAATAAAATATTATAAAAATAACTACACTGTAGCATTAATGTAATATTTTAAAATATATTTAATAAATATAATATATAATTCACTTAAATAATATAATTATATATATATATATATATATTCATTTAATGTAATGTATTTAAATGTATGACTTTTCATGTTTATTAAAATTATTAAATAATTTACTATAATAACTTTCAATTTGTATAAGATTTTTTTAGAAATATTGATTTTTTTTTAAAAAATTAACGTGTTTGTTTAAAATTTGAAAAATACATATAATACAAGTGAAACAAATTCAAGTATGTTACAATGGCCATGTTATCCTCCTATTTTTCGGTAAATATTTTTCATTGATTAAAATTTTGTTTTGGTCTCTTAGATAGTTAGCATCAAATATTTTAGTTTTTAAAATATTAAAAATGTTATGTTAGTCTCTGACTTTCATTTTTGTTAAGTATTTTAGTCTCTAAATTCAAACACCATTAACAAATAATAACAAAATACTGACATATTAAGTAACATATGTGACAACTAAAATGATATATACGACGTCACTTCATAATATGGATTGGTAAATATGACCAAACACTACATAGCTGTAACTTTCCTCTTTTTTCTCATGAAAAATCCTTTTTTTTTTTTTTAAATCTTAAGATCCAATTTGCAAATCGTAACTCTATTGGCTCTAGAAAATTTAAGATTGAAATTTATTGTACTTGTAAGAAGGAGAATCACAGAGGATTTTATATTATTCTTTTTTGTAACTTTTGAGTCTTTTTTCTGTTAGAAACTTGACTAACAAAATCTTGTTTGTTTTATACGCTACTGAGAATGAAGACATGCTATCTATGTTAGGTTAGTTTTGTTTGATTATATTAATATTATTTCATTTCTCTTTCATTAGTGTTAATGTAAGTTTAAGAATTTTTTTTTTTGGTTGTTTTATGAGAAGAAAGCGGTGATATCAACGCAAGTGATCTCCCAATGTCAATTATGATTTTTTGATTTGTAAAAAGAAAAAGATGGTTTGAATGGAGGTGGTCTTCTTTTTGCATGGTTTTACCCTCTTCTCTCACGTGTCTGCATTACTTCCATAATTTATTCGTTTGTGTACTCTAAAGAGTACATGTGGGATAAAGTTAAAGTTTGGCAAAATATTTTCTAGTTAGATCCTGCCAAAGAGTTTAGGAAATGTTTAAAACCATTAAAATACGATACTGATGTGTTGGATATGGTGATTGTTGCTAAGAGTTGGTAAGAGGAATAGAGATGAAATGCATGTATATTATGAGCATGAAATTGGTGAACTACAACTACTTGATGATGATGAAATTAGACTAATTAAAGGGAAAGAAGTTGAAGACATAATAGCTAAACAAGGCATTGAACTTGAAGATATAACAACAGAAAAATAAATAAAAGTTGAAGACACAATGATAGGAAGAGTAGAAGTTGAAGTTGAGAAGGAACAAAAAAATAAAATAAAAAAGAGAAATGGAGAATGCAAGGGTGAGTTTGGTAAATCAAATGGGGAACAAACAAAAAGAAGCAAGGGAAAAAGGAAAGGAAAAGATAAGTGTGTTTTTGCTAAATCAAAAGAGAAATAGAACAAAATAGCATGGGAAAAGAAAAAGGAAACGAAAACGGGCAACAAAAGGTGAAGGTAAATACAAGAAAAAATGACCATAATTGTTGAAGATGATTTAGATGACGAATGTTTTAAAAATTTTATGGAAGATGTATAAGACATGAGTCATAGGGATAATTATCACAGGGAGAGAAAAACACTCATAAAATTTATAAAAGTCTGAAGAATTAATAACTCTAATAAATTTAGATGATGAATACAACAACAAAAAAGTTTTTCCTAGTTTGATGAAGCTGCTAAATTTGAAATGTGAACTTAGAGCTAGGAATAAAATTTGGAAGTTTAGAATCCTTCAAACAAGGTGTTAAAGATTATACAATTCAGATAGAAAGAGAAATTAAGTGGATAAAAATGACAAAGTGAGAGTAAAAGTCAAGTATAAGAATCATAACTCCAAATGAAAAATATATTGTGTAAAAAGTAATGTGATACGTAACTTTCAGGTTAAAACTTTTCACTATGAACACACTCATGACAAAGATTTTAAGAATAAAAAAATAACACAAATTGAGTTGTTGGAAAGCTTGTTATAAAATTAAGAAAGTATTTTTAATATTTTAATTTAAAAATACATGAAAGTGAAATATGGTGTGTAGTTAAGAGAAAGTAAAATTTATATGTTAGTAATTAAAGAAAAAGAGACTGTGGAGAGAAACAAGAAAAAATAACTTAAAAAATTGTGAAAAATTTATGAAGTATAATTTAGGTTTAACTATAAAAATGAATATTTGTTTTAATTGAAAAATTATCAAGAGTTTCAAAAATTATCTATATGCCTTATCGAGTACAAAATAACTTAGGTTGGGTGTAGAATTTTGATGGTACACTTATATAGAGATACTAATAATCATCTATGAAAAATAAGCCTATGAAACTGTAGATGTTGAAAATATAGAGATAGGTTAGCATCTACCCACTGTTGTTAGCCGTTCTGTGTTCTAAAGAATTGACACCTTTTTGGAGTGTCTCATTGCTGGAGCTCTTGCTCTAATTTGACTTCTTTTATCAAACAAATCCGTGCATTTTTGTCCTTTTTCGTGTGAACTTGGGCATCATATGCTGATACAGAGTGTATGCTTAAATTCCTTTGTTGGGTTGGACCATTTCATTTAATTAAGTATTGGGCTGAGTGTGCAAAACAGCTATAAACCCAAGGCTGAAGGGACCATTTGATAGCAAGGGGCAGATTAATCTACTGTACGCCAAATCTCATTTCACCTTTTGCATTTGTTATGCTGTGTGATTAGTACAGAAAATGAAAAAGCGCATAAGGTTCAAGCGTACTAACAGCCGTATAATGTTAAACATGAAAAATAGGAAATATAATATAAGTAAAAGGTGTTCTATATATACCCTTTAAACATGTCACCCAAAATGAAATTGGGCTAGTGAAGCCACAATTTATTGAAGGGATAACCATAATTACAAAATGTAAAAAAGTTCAACTTAGGCAATTAAATATAATCAATTAAGGGATTCATCACTGACCTTGTTTATTTTTATTTGAGCAGTATATATAATTAACTAGTCTAGAAGTAAGAAGATGGGCGGTTTGAGAAGAGAGGAAATGGCTGAATAGAGAAATGGATTGTTCTGGTGCAAAGACTGGAATTTGGTGGCCTGCACCTCTAATGGTGGGAAATGTGAGGCCGTTCTCGTACACCTCTGTCCACCCTGCCACTTGACACTTGTCCATGCTTTCTTTATTTTTAAACTCATTTTGTTTATGCTATATCTTGTTGACGTAACTGGAACTCTACCATCTGTGTCCCCACTGCATGTGAAATTCATCAGCTTAGAATGATCATGACTCAAATACAGTAATGACAACACCATTCAAAACCAAAAATCTTAATGAGTTTATTACTCCCAATGATATCTAAGGCTTCATAGAACATGCCAACTATAGTTACAAGTAACTTCAAGTTTTAGGGGATAAAATCAGCAAAGAAAAAGTCTTTACCAATAAACAAAAGGAGGAAGAAGAAGCATCTTTTTCTTAAACTCCTTTAGAAAAATTTCTATTCAAATCTTTTAAGATTAATGCCAGATCAAAGTAAAAAAAATTTAGAGCTTAGGCAAAAAGAAAACCAAGATCTTTAGAGGAATTAGGTGATCTTAGTGAGTTATTAAGCAAAATTACTAGTATGCTTGAAACAATTCCTGAAACACTTCAATCTTCCGAAGAGTCTAGTGCTAGACCAAAGACTAGATCTTTGTCCAAAACTATCAATGTTATTAATAAAATTGATTTAGATCAACCTTCAAAACCAGATTCAATCTTTAATCTAGAAGTCAATCCGATTATTACTACTGGTAAAAATTGGAGATCTCCTTCTAAAATTTATTACAACAAGACTACTACTCCTGATCTTCTTATAGAAGAAAATAATGAGCATAATTTTCAAAGTTTTAGCGCCAATAACATCTACGAATGAAACATAGATGGTAAGTCAGAGTATAATATTATAACTACTCTGCATCATATGTTGATTGTAACGTCCCGAGTTTTGTAATTGTTGAGTATTGATATAAATACGTGAATTATTATTTGGATGTATATATATAAGTATGTATGGTGTTGGAATGCATGATTTTGTTTTGTGCGAGGATGTGGATGTGTGTATGGTACGAATATGAGCATGTAAGTGTGTGATGATTTGTGATATGAATATTGATTTGTGAATTGGACTAGAATTGATTGAGAAGTAGGCTTAATGTGTACTGCAAGGGCATTCTCGCTGTAGCGAGAAGGCCTTGGAAGAAAGAAGTGAAACTGTTGCGCTCTCGCTCTAGCGAGAGGTCTCTCGTTACAGC